CGTATTTGATCCACACAAAGATAATGCCAGAGCTGTCGCAGGAGGCGAGCTTCTGATACGGCTCATTCCACTTGACAAGTATTACCTAAGAAAAGGACGTGGTTGGGTCTTGAGGGGCTGAACATAAAACGTAAAGTGCTTCGCTTACGTCCGAACGATGACCTCGCAGATTGTAGTTGGTTCGCAGTGGATAGTCCATGTTTTTGCGGCAGTGTGAGGTGGTAAATGTGACGCCCACAATGCCGCGTATATTTCCGGTTGCCAGCCAGCCCTCCTGGTAGTAGTTCGTGCGGTTTAGCTTCCAGCCCTCATCCTGTGATGCAAATAAGAAAAAGAATCGAAATCAAATTGAGTATCTTTTGCGCACAGCTGCCGTCAGGATGAGCTTGCCAACTCATCCAAGCAGCCGCCAATTGACAGTCAAATGCGCGCAAATGCGCCTGTAAAATGGATTATCCCGCTGGCAGTAGCTGCCTTTGACTGTCGTCCCACTTTGCAGCACACTTAACTGACATTTGTAAGCACTCAATATGCTGCTTTAATACCCTGTACTCATGGAAGGTGTTAAGCTACAAGATATGCACATTGTCTATTGTCTTAAACACTGTAATAAATTTTACTACAGGGTATGTCGGGGCCAAACAATTTTTTTGTAACTTTTCCCATTGATCTATATGCACGAAACTTAGTAGAAATTATTTCTTTGGCTATTTTAAAGCTAGGTACAGGGTATTTATAGTCAAGCCACTTATCCGTAATATAATTGTATTAATATTCGAGGACTTGGGACTTAAAGATAGTACATCCAGTACAATAAGAAATACAGATCTTAAATAAGTGTTAGAGCTATTCAGAACTGTATACAGGGTATCATTTAGTCAAGCATTGCCTATCAGAGCATGTATGTCGAGCATTGAGGTCTAAGAAATTCATAGACTTTGTTGCTGACAAGTCTAGAAGACACATGCGAGAATGTGTAGAAATGGACATTAGATCATTTTAAAACTGAGTATAGGGTATCTTGTAGTCATACAGTTTCGACTATTTTTAGTTGTAAATCTTAGTCCACACTTGATTTAGGTGTCTATTTAATTTTATATACACATGAGTATTTGAAAAACAGCTCGAGAGTTTCATTGCTTATTACAGGGTATATCATAGTCGTGAATTCCTTTTTAAATCAATGATATGAATGTCCATCATTTTGTGTACAATTGTGTGTGCAATTGGATGAGCTCAAGGACACTTGTAAGCTGACTATTGGGTATTTCCCAGTCGAGCACTTTTGATAAACTAATTTAAACTTATTTCTCCATCTGGCACTTGAGCTGTTTATCTGCAGCATTCAGACTGCATTCACAATTTATGCCTTTGGCATCAGCCGCATCTTACCCCCTCCCCCACCCCTACCACCACTCTCACTGTCGCCCACGCGCAACAGCCACTGGGACCCACAGCATCCAGCCGCACCGCTCGTCAGATTGTAGACTCCAACTTTTGAGCGGCTTTTGCAATTGCTCTGCTGATTATATTTCACAAAGTGTGGCCTACATTTGAGCGCCAATTGGCGGCAGGTGATAAGCTGCAAAGTTCAGTTTTCAGTTCCAAAGAACTTGACTGGCCGGCTCGGGCCCATTGGGCTAATCCCCGCTAAGCCAAAATGGTCAATATTATTATCTGTCTTTCTTATTTTTTTAAGGCCAAATCCAATTTGCGAGGCATAAATTAAAATGCCAGCAACAACAATTTATTTCGCAATTTCCGCTTGGCCAGCTGCGAAGAGTGCATAACTTTTTATTGATTTCAGTTGCGCCACACCCACACACACACACACGCCTTAATTGGTTTACTAGCCCGTTTGATGCCCGCCGCTGTCAAATGCAATTACGTAATAGACATTGCCTGGATCTATGCGTACCCTCTCCGCTACCAATTGGAATTTGCGCACATTTGCGTTAAATGAATTAAAAAGAAAAGGAAAACTGTTAATAAAACATTTTCAGCAAACCAATTGCCGCATTTTGTGGCACATTTCAACGTGGCATTCAATGACGGCGCCCAATTATAAAGCGCATTTCTTTGTTGAGAGTGTTATTAACCTTTCATTGGGCCACTTGAAGACAACGTCTGGGCCATCAGCGTCCTCTATATGCGATACGAAGTATGTAAATATATCTGCATTTAATAAACACTTGAGACAAAAACAATAAAGAAAGTTTAGCTGAATGAGCACACTGCCAGATGCCCTGTAAACAGCTCTAAGAAATGTACACGAATGAATTCATAGGGTATAAACTAAGTTGTTAAACCAAAGCCATATGTATCGGCATTTAATAAATACAATTTACAGAATATATCTCTGAGTAAGAGCAGCAGAGCGAAAGCAGAAAATACTTTACTCCAGAGATTTTCACGCTGTTCAACACAAATTTGAACATTTTTCGATGATTGCATTTGGTGAATGACTTATTCAGTATGTAGAAATAATGCTTTTTGTACATTTTTATATAGATAGATTAGAAACGAGATTTCAAAGAAAATTATCAGATCGTATCAGCTTTACACCCAAAATACCCAATTTACCAAATTTGTGCAGGGTATTTGGGGAACACTTGAGTTAAATACGTTTCCACCAGCTTGCAGATATATTCCGACATTTTCATGGCCATTTTATGGCCGTATTATTGTCATGGAGCAAATCGGCATTTCAATTTCAGTATTCGGCAATATTTTTAGTACTTTTCAATGTTTCTTAAGCTCAACTAAACTGCACTCGGGGTAAATGCAGTCGACATGCAGTAAATTATAAAATAAAAAGCAAAAACACGATTTCAACATATCGAAATTTTTATTACAAATTGATCACGAAATTGTTTGAAAAAATCTAAAGTGAAAACACGCGTCTCAAACGGAGCATAGCAAGGGAAATGGAATATAAAAGCGATATTAAATTTATTGGGCCACAAAGGAAAATGTTTTAATCGCTGGTTCAATAATCACTTGATGTGGCCTTCGGGCGCCTTGGCCAGTTTTCTGCTGCCATTGACAACATTAAATGCAATTTTCATTAATGCCGTAATTGAATTTCATAAACAGGCAGCCGAGTCCCAGCCAAGTTGACAGTTGAGCGGGCGGGTTTGGCAGGCATGTCTTGCCTAGGCGCTGACAGGCCATCAGCTGGTCGCTTTATGCCACTTGCCACTTGCAACTTGTTAGCTTGTTAACAGCTGCCACATCGAAGTGCAATGCGGAAATTGCTTTGATTGCAACAGCAACAACTTCCGTCCTAGCATTGTCCCGGACCTGGCTAAACAATGGGCAGGCTCTGCGGCAGATTTCCATTTAGATTTGTTGCATAGTTGCACAAATTTCAATGCAACATGCCCCAAAAACTTTTCAATGCAGGCCAACTGCAGCAAATGGTTTATGTGTGTATGTAGTTTTTGGGCAACAACTGCTGCATGTGGCATGATGCTATTGGTGTTGTTGTTGTGGCAGCCATAAATTGCGGTTGTGCGGCAATATCAATGTTGCCCCCTCATCATGCTCCATTTCAAGCGCTCAGCACATATACACACACATTTTTAATTAATGTAATGCAATTTTCAATATAAATAGCTCAGCTTGCTCTTTGTGTATATATCATTCTCTTTCTTTCTCTCTCTTTCTCTCTCTATCTCTCTCTTTTTCTACAGTAAATCATATTCCCTACAGGCAAACGTTTGTTTATTTTAATAAGGCTCAGCGGGACAATTTCGTAAAATCGCTTGGAACAAATAGGAATTTAAATACATAACAGTTTAAACTTAATTAAAGCAATTAAACAATATTATTTTTTAAATGTAAACAGAACATTTGGCTTCACGTGGCGTATGCGCAATTTAGTCTTTAAAACTTTAATATTTGGTAAACAATTACACCGAGGTATGAGCTTTATGTATTAGCGTATGATTTCTTATTTAAACACATTTGCTAGACATATTAAGGCACTGCAAAGTTCATAAAAATCGGACTATAAGCTCCGATATTATTCATGAATATATTTCCCCCATTTTCTCGGTTGTGTATGCATGTATAGAAGTTAGCTAGAATATTTGTTAAGTAGTTCGGCGGTGCTAGGCTTAGGGTATCTTCTAGTCGAGCACTCCCGACTAGACCACGCCACTTTATATATGTTATAAATAATACTTCACTCGAAATCGACATCCTGTTTTTTGAGCAAATCTCTTGGGTGTTCAGAGCTAGAGTCACCAAATTGGACGTGTAACTTCTTAAGTATTTTTTATTTTATACTGTATATACTTTATCGGTGTGGGTAGAAACAGGTTCAGGGTATTCCCGAGTCGCCTAGAGCACTTTGACTTTTTATTGATCATTTTAATTTTCTTTCAATGACAATCTTTAAAACCTTATCAAAATTGGCCTTTAGAAAACCATAGAATATCCAAAGATAAATATACATATATTTTATTTAAAATTGCTGCTGTTTTTTAATGCAAAAGCAATTTGACTTTTTGCATCCAAAAATTTAAGGATGCGAAAGATTGTCCCAATCGGCATTTAGCCTTTAATCCTGGACTAAACTAAAAATATGCCAAATTTATTTATATGCCTTTTGCTAATTTTTGTCTATTTTGGTCAGCGAATGCTATTTTTACGGGGTCGCTGGCGGTCATAAATGTGGACAGCTTGTGGGCGGTTGTTGCCCAACAACAGATTTGGGGTCAAGTACACACGCCGTCTTGTTACCAAAAGGCACAAGAACACAAATGTGCAAAGAGAGAGAGAGAGAGAAGGAGAGAGAGAGAGCGGAAGCGGGAGAGGAATTTAATATATTTAGAAGCAACTGCAGGGCATTTGGTTGCGTTCCCTCTGCGCATGTTTTCTCTCTACCAATTTGTCAGTCTCTCGCGCTCTCCTCGTAAAAGTGAAATGTCCAAAGATCAGTCAACACTTGTAGTCCACAGCTGCCATTCAGTCGCACTCGGGGCAAATCTCCAAATCAGTTGCCCGCGTTCGTTTGCCACGGCGCGTTCGTGCTTTAATTTTTCGATATACAAGCGTGGAGGAGCATATTCCTAGTTTTGGTTATTAAGCACAAACTTTTGAAAAACATGTCTAATGCAATTAAATTGCTCCTCTTGATCACGGCTCAGGCGCTGCTCAGCCAGAGAGGCGTCCAGGCCAAGAGATTCTTTGGTGCGGGTCAGCGCATTGATGGCGATCAGCTGCTGCTTAAGGATGTGCAGCATTCGCGTCCTGCGAGCATCAGTGAACCGCCCAATGTCAGCTTTAAGTACAACATTGTCGAGCCAATTACCTATATTGAAATCGTCTCGAATCAGGTAATTTGTTTTTTTGGCCATTACCCTTTATATTTTATTTTGTTTTCTCAAGCATACTTTCATAATCTGAACGTATTTAAAATTGTTAAAAGGGGACATTTATTATTGTGGAAATTTAAGTAACAGGCCAATGAAGCATTTCCTGTCCTGTAGAGTATATATATTCATTAAGCGTCCATGTCGCAAATTACAAAAGCTAGAGACTTGTCTTTGCAAAATACTATATATGGTTTTATATATCATTAGCAGAAGGAATTTATACTATTTCTATTGTCGATACATGTTTAACATATTGTCAATAAATATCGTTAGCAAACGAAGTTCGACACTGGACTTAGAGTAAGTGCTAGTCGGGCACTTCCGCCTAAAGCACACTTACTTGTTGTTTTTTTTTGCATATGCCCAGCCCGAAATAGAAAACGAAATTTTAGTTTTTTTTCGTCACTTGCCCACAGATCAGAAAAAAAAAAAAAAAAAAACTAAATCTAAGCGACAACAAATAGAACACTATATAGATATGTATTTATTTATATTTAGTACTGGGCGTCTGTGCGGCACTCGCTTCCCAATGTTTGCCATAACATTTGCTTTTGGCCATTAGATGCGCAGATAATTGCCTTAGAAAAGAGTTGGATTATTAGTTAAATGTATATGCCTGGCCGGACTAATTAAAACAAAAATTCCTATATAATTTTAAGGTCTATGCGACTTATATAAACCCATTACCCGTTGCCAGATGTTGCTATAAAAACTGTTCATAACCCAACTGATTGGCTAAATTTAAAGCCCAGTTGCGAAAGCTAGCAAAAGCCGAAATAAAATATTTGCAACCCATAACATTTTTACATCGTTCAATTTAAAAATTTCGTAGTATATTAGAAAAGTTTGAGCTTCAAAAAGAACATATAATTGCCATATTTTATATATTTTAGAAATATCGAAATTTAAAGGAATATTCAATTTTGAAGCACCGAAAGTTAAATACTCTTCTATATTTATTTCGAATATTGCCAACAAGCTTTGTCAAAGTTGAGAGCAGTATTTAACCAGGCTGCGAGCCCAATAAAAGTGTTCAGTGTTCAGGTTAGGGGGTTAAAGGTTGGGTCCCACGAACCCAGGCTTCCATTTTCAATAGAATAACATATGTTTAGCTGTACGAACAATTAAAAGATTATGTGCGAATAGTTCTATGGAAATCTCTGGCCAATAAATAATTTTAGTTCCTGTTTCGAGCCAGTTGAGCACACAATTAGTTTACACAAAAAACTTGAGCTAAGTAGACTTAATACACTTAATTTGAGAATTTCTTGTATTCGGAGTTTGGATTTAGGCGTTTTATGACTTAAAGAATATTTTTAATATAACAATTTCGAAATCTTTTAAAATGTTGACCTGATTTAGGTGCAGAGCTTGTGGGTTTCCTGATGAGAGCATAATAAACGAGCTTCAAAATTTCCTAAGAAAATAGAAGGATGTTATTTTAATGCTAAACACAATGTTCGACAGATTGTGGGCTTTTTCAAGAGTTCCTAAAAGAAATACATTTTTATGGAAAATTTAGTATTAATCTGATATGGAGTCCGAATTTAGGAAGTTTTAGTTACAATTTTGGAAGCATAGTTAAAGATAATGGTTGAATTAACATAAAAAAGTCATGTTTTCTATATAAAATAGTATGTAGATTTGGCCTGTGCAAAAGTAACTGCTTTTAAAAAATACAATGAACTTTAACATGAAGCTTGGGATCATACGAAGTACTAAGATAAAGACGAAGCTATAATAATTAAGCTGTTTGGACTTATCAAATATATGAACACAAATGTGTAGCACAATCTATGAAAATATTTGGATACCCTCTGTAAGGGAACTCATATAAGTATATAGTCGTGTCTAGTACATATGTCAAATCAGCTGCAAATTTGGCTATTTGGCACAGCTTCTGACAGCAGTTGGATGCCTCAGGCGGCAGGTTCACGAGATGCGAGGGTGCCCACATTTATATATATATATATATATATTTTAAAAACAAATGTTTTTTCAATATGGAAATTCGTGGGCTACTTATGACGTGAGATTTCGAAAGAAAAATGTGCAAATGTTCAATATAAGTACATCCCCCAGAGGCAGCACGTTGTGTATCTAAACTAACTGACGATAGATTCGAATGTCAGCGAGGCGTGGCAAATATCTATTTGGTATACGCATGATTGCATACCCTGGATGGTCTGCTAATTGAATGATTCGTTGGTAATTCATCTGTTTTTGATCAAATCATTTTGCAGAACATTGAGGCCGAGGTGAAATTCAGCTATGTGGATACCTTGGTGGTGGGCATAGTCCGCCTAGTGACCAACGATGGGAGCACATTGGAGGCAGATATCGAGACAGCATCGGAGACGCCCAGGCCGAATCTGCCTGCGGCCTTTGATGTGCTTATCACAATCTATGGCTACAACGAAACCTTTTTGAATGTGAATCCAGCGCTGCTGATCAATCGGGACTCTATGTATGAGGGCGAGATGACACCCTACGACTTTGACTATGAGAATATAAGCGAACCGTACGACAACGACAAGCCCCAGACGGTGATGATGGACGATGAGGATGACGAGCCGAGCACCGATGCGACCACCTATGGCCCGGACTTTGAGCTCAAGGACAAGATCATAGAAATTGGACAACGGCAAAAGGGTAACTAAAGATTGATCAATATATGTTCTAACGAGGTTCAAGCTGCTTTTACTAATTGAAGAGTGTACAAAAATGTGATATTTGAGCAACACGCGTCGATTACATAGACGAGTTCTTCAAATTTCTCGCGCACCATATACAGATCAAGTTATCGATAATTCAGCTGATATCGATCAACTTCGATTGACCTCTGCTTTACTGAGCATGCGCACATTATGCGTATTTTCTTCAATTATTCCCCTTCAACAAAATCGATAATTATCGGTTTACAAAATAGCTTTTTAGAGCGTGCCTCGAAGAATCAAAATTCTGAGCATATTTAATTTGATTTTCAAGTTTTTCTTATAGATTTGATGTATTCAATTATTGTACTTTTCGGAGCTGGCTACAGGGTAGCTAATAGTCAAGTCCACTCGACTAATGCAATTTAAATGTTTATACAGGTGACGATTTGATATACGAAACATATCAAACATCTCCGGATGTGTCCAAAGAGCAGACAAATCATACGGTCATTTTCTACTATATTGACAGCGATTTCATCACCTACGTAAAGTTTGTCATCTTCGATGTGAGTATCAGTTGGTCGGTAACATTTTGTATGCTTATTCTTGGTGTTCAATCCGTAGCACTTTGCGGATAAGATAGCCACCGCCGAGGACTATACGGCGCCCGTGGCCGAGTACAGTCATTATTCGCCGACCACGCTGAAAGCAACCATTACGGACTTTAACATCAGCTCGTTGTTTGTGCAAATGTTTGTTTATGGCTATCGCGGAGTCGATGCTCCACCGCCGAGCTATAAACCCTTCCTGAAAGGAAAAAGCCAAATAATTGATGAAAAACCCAGCCTGACTCCGTTGCAGCGTATACAGCTGTTGCTGTTGACGGGTCGTTCGACCACACCATCGGATCTGGAGCAGGACGAGACGGATGATTCCGAAGAGGATGACGCATGGCGTCAGATAAAACCCGAGGACATGGTGCCCGATCATGTACCCGATCCGAGCATAACAAATGCAGTGCTCGAACAGCAGCGGGCCGTGCCGCAACGACTCTATGCGATGTTGGGCCTAATGCTATTTGCCGTGGCATAGTCGAGCTCTTGGGTGTCATGGAGCGGGGGCAAGGTATAATTAATTTAGTCAACCGATTGAAAAGCTTTAAATGAGTAGTGTTTAGGGGCGCATATTTGCATATTGTAATATTTTTATCAAATAAAACCAATTGTCGAAAGCCGAGCTAACAGTCTTAAGAACAAGGCACGCACACTACACCCACATTCACACACCCACTCACCCACACACTCGATGAAAAACAAATTGGAAAAGTTGCGGCAAAAGTAGGTCAGGGCATTCGCTTCAACCCCGCGACTCTCTCACGACTCTCTGCCTTTCTCACTCTCTTCCACTTGGCAAATTATCTGCGTCGACGGCGACTGCGACGCCAACGTCGACGTAGACGGCGACTTCAGCGACGGTGGTTGATTTGGCAGCACTAACAAAAGGAAAAGGAAAAGTGAAAAAGGCTGCTGACGTACATATGTACACAATACACACACACACACACACACACACACACACTCGCACACACATTTTTTTCTACGGCAGTTGTCCAGCACTGGTGAGTGTTTATTTACTTGTGGCCAGCCCCTCGCTGTACCCCCTGACACACAGCCGAGCACTTACATGTGGAAAAGTTCTAAAGCCTTATCTTCTTCTTCTTCGGCTATACACAAAATTAACTCACAGCGAAATGTGCTGCTGCTGCTGCTGCTGCTCTGAAGGCCATCATGTCCAGAACGACCACAAGGCAATCGCAGATGCCTTCGCACAACTATTTCAACAATCCCCCCTCCCACACACACACACACACATACACATTTCTGCTTCTCTAAACATCACCAACTTACGTCCAAAACTGTATGTTATGCGCTTTGTTTCCTGCCATTTGCAGGCGAACAGCGTAGCAATAAAAATTTGGTTAAGTGGGTATGACAAGACTGTGCGATACCCTGCAGTCGGCTTAAAAGGAAATATTTTAAACATATTTAAAAACAAAATACATATGTTAAAAGTATTATATTTTTAAAATTGAAATTCCTTTATATTATTTTTTGAAAATGTGTGGAAAAATATTAAAAATAATAAAAACCAATGACCATGCCTTAGGTGTCTGGTCCAAATCGTTTCTAACTTTACTTGCCCAACAGACAGACAAACTAATATGACCCGACCCAATCAATGTCTATTCAATATTCCGCTCACACACAATTGTATAAAGACTAAAACTAGCTTGTACTAGCAAGAAATTGTCAGTCTATGGTTGGAATAAATGCCTCGATTCGCGCTTACACATCCAGATATTATTTTGAATCTTGGTTGTACTGAAAGAGGCTAGAAACTAAATATTTTTGGGTAAGTAAAAAATAATTTAAACATAATTCTGTCTATGTTAGAATTAGATAAAGAACTTTTTCATATAGGACTCTATTTTCATAGATCATAGATCATAGACGCATAGATCTGGCATACATAGACTAAAGCGAAAAGATTAGTGTGCATAGAAAACGGAATAATGGAAATGTCTCTACTGTTGATACTGATCAAGACTATATATTTTATTTTATACATTAAATTGTATTTTATTATTTTACAAAGACAGCGTTTTTTAAAGTCGACGCTTCGAAAGGGCAGGACAGAAATCAACCACAAGGTGACCATTATTGAAGTAGCAACTGAATGCTTTGTGCTGCTGACTGCTCAAAGTGTTTCAGAGCACCTGGCCACAAGGATAATAAAATGCAGGTGATATGCTATCCAGACAAAAGAGCGAAACACGAATGCCACAGAGCGCCAGTAGGAATGCATCTGAAAAATGTCCAAAGACCAAAAGGCAGATGAAAGTCGCAGCCAAAGGAGAGAACTTCTGTGAAGTAGAAATGGAAGGGGGGCAAGCTGCAAACGAAATGTAGCTGTGGGACTAACATATAGCCATACTTATGTTTAATTCAAGACAGAAATTTATAAAATTTAACAAATTTGGCAGCGCTTGCCACAGTTCCCTAAAGACGAAAAACATACAAAAAAAAAATGGAGAAAAGGAAATTTCAAGAGTCGCCACACATGGAAAATATGCTGTAAAGAAGAGGGAGGCGCCGCTGGCGGCAGCTTGGGCCAAATTGAAAATTTCTTTTTATGCGTGCCGCTTACAGTTTTTATATGCAGACATACTATATATAATACAGGCATTATGTGTGTGTGTGTATGTGTGTGTAGCTGTAGGGCGTGGCATTGGCATTGTAAACAACAACGGATAAGCAGCGCACAAGTGTCATCCACAGCCACACCTCCAGCCCAGCTCGGCCTGGCAACGGCTGACTGTCATAGAAGGGGCGCCCATTCACACACAGAGAGGAGAAGGCAGGCAGATTGGATCTGGGTGTGGGGCAGCGGCAAGGGGTGACGTGTGCTTTTGTCAATAACTTAATAACTTAAAATATGGTTTAATGCTCACGTAACAACATTTTGCCACTTGGCCCAAGTGTAAAAGGCTTGGCGTAACGACAACCGACAACCGACAACCGACAGTCGACAGCTGAGAACCATGAGCCAGAGGCTAAGGGCAGCCAACTTGAGGGTCTGTAGGTTTGAGGCTTGAGCATTTGGCAAAATGGGGTGTATTCCTATTTATACCCTTACCATGGCAACCAGGGTTTTTATATTTCTTTTCCCTGAAGCTGGTTGACCAATAAATATATATATTTATAAATAAATAATTCCAGGAATAAAATGTAATTCACACTATTTCTACAAACTGGCATCAAAGCTCATAGTGCAGCCAATTTTCACGCTTATTGGCATTTTGGTTGTGATTAAACCTCTGGGTATATTTTTCATCTAAAATATATTGGTTTAAAAATATGTCAGGTTTTAAGAAAATATATAAATATTATTTCTTATTTAATTATATATCAAATAGTTAGGAACAATCGGCCGAAACATCGTTTCTTATATGGCAAAATATTCTATTTTCATGAAACTCAGCGTTCACTATTCTCACATATCAGCAAAAGAAAAATGCCTACATGATATTGAATATTTTAAAGTGTCAAAGATATTCTTACTTTCTCGTTAAGTAAGAATAGCTTTAAGCTTTGAAATTGATTAAAAATACCCAACCTGACACCCAAAGCCAACGACATATTTCACAAAAAATGACTGGCTTAAAATAAACATTAAATGTTTTAAGAAAACCCAGCCTGGGTGAATCCTTATTGATAAAGAAAACCGATATGCCAAAGCGTAAGTTAGTTCGAACTGAATCGAACCATTGATTTTTTTTCATCAGTATATGTGAAATTTGCCGGAAACAAGGTACGAAGCGTCGCAAAAGGTTATAATCTTTTCATCACAGCCATACGCAGAGAAAGGACAATTTATGTGCTTCGTTCTGATGGCGATTGCCTTGTGTGTGCATGTGTGCGTGTGTGTGTGTGTGTGCGTGATTTGAGTGTGTGCTTGCCCGTTGGCATTGTGCACATGCTCACCTTTTGATCCTTTTTCAAGCCAGCCCAAAAGTTATAATTATTGATTTTTCTTTTTGGGTTTTTCTTCCTCTTAATTTCTAGCTAGCTTAGTTTGCGCATTTACATTTAAAATAATTAGAAAAAGTATTTGGAACTCGTAATTGTGTACATGCATTTGCCATTACCGCAATTTGTTTTGGTGGGCAGCCGCTTCAGTGCATCCTTTCTTGATCCTGGGCTGGATATGCTGCATAATTCATAGAATGCTCATTGTCGTTGGCTGCCTTTGTGTGTGACGAGACGAGACGAGTTGGGCAGAGACGAGGGCAACTCATTAGCGTGCCAAGGGGCGCAGCGACAATGCCAGCGAGGGCGGGAAGGGCTGGGGTTGCTTTGGGAGAGGTCATTGGGTTCAAAGGGGGAGGTAGGGAAGGGTTAGCACATGTCTGTGCAAGTTTTGAATTGCATATGTCTGTTTCACAGGCTTCGCATTTGCATTTTATTAAATTTCAAAAGCTCTTCGCACATTTGCAACGCACCTGAACCCCCACCAGCCCCTTGATCCACTTGTCCTGTTCACCTGAACGCCATTGTTAGCGTGGGGGGATAGAGCGAGCGTATGGCTGCGCGCATTGCATATTTATGCACTTAATAACGCATTTTAGCATGCTCAAGTGCAACTCATCTTTTGTTACAGCACATACAGAGCCAGCGACAGAGACAGCGAAAGAGACAGCGAAAGAGACAGCGACATAGATGGTTGCAGAGAAGACAACTGCAGCCAAGCTGCAAATGGTTTCCACATGTCTCTGCTGCTGTTGCTGCCAGGCGTTGACAAATGGAGCATGAGTTACATGTTATGTCAGTTGCCATATGCATATGCATACGACCCCGCACCCCACCCACGAAGTCGCCTTTTTATTTCCCCAATTCCCAATCCTATCCACATGACGTTCTGCCTTGCCTGTCAAAGCGAAAAACTTTTTGGACGTGCCACGTGGCGGATGCGTAATGCACAAAAGGGACAAAACGAAACTTACAATGCAACCAAGGTTTAAGCAATTACCAACGAAAAAATACAAGTTAAGAAGCTTATGACAGGGCAGCAACAACAACAAAAAACAGGAAAATGAAAACGAGCGGTCAAAGGCAAAGACAAAGGCTAAGACACGAGTACAAAATTTGATGCAAAAAAATTAAAAAGCATATCAGGTCAGAAGCCAATTGACTTGGTATTAAAGTATCCCATATAACAAATGATAAGCTCTCGATGTCATTAGATTGGACACATTAAAGCTATTCGAAACTATTTAAATTCATACAAGTATAAGGATATGCAGCCATACCAATAAAATTGTATGCAAACCGGAACTGCCAGTAAAATATTTAAGGATGACGCACAAATGATGAGATAGCAGGATTGCTTATTTAATTATTCCCTTAATGTGGTCCATGTGGAGAGTAGTAAAGATGTAAGCCAAGGCAATGTTACCTGTAAAACTTTCAAGGATGATGCACAAAAAATGATTGATATGTTGAACGAAGCCAAAGCTTAAAGTGTGGTGCTCTGCTGCCAGTTAAACGTTCAAGGATAGCGCACAAAGCAGTATTGATAATTAAATTATTCTCTTGATGTATATGAAAGCGGCCTATATGGAGAGCAGCCACGGCTTTAAGTGTGAGAGTGCTGTCTGTTAATGTTTTAAATACGGCACACAGAGCAGGTAGCATAATTAAAACATTCGAGTTGGAATAAGTGGAAAGGTAGAGTAAGTACATTATCTAAAGACAAAACTTCTCACGGGCAAGGCCGCATAATACACTCCACTCCAATCAGGAGTTCCCTACTAGGGGATACCCTAAAGCAGTTTGGTGATTCTAGCTCTGTAAAAGATTTGCTAAAAAAAAGATTTCGACATTTCTGCTGCCTTTCACAAACATTTGCACAAAGTCATTAAACCCTCTTTACCCATTTTAACTATTTTAATAGCTCCAGCCGCTGCGATGCAAATTCTTTGAAGCGAACATTTATTATAAGTGGACTTAAAAATAATAAAAGTAATAGTTTTTGTAATAGTTTTCAGATAAGTATAGTAATATTTCCGTATACGGAGAGCAGCTGTCAGTAAAACGTTTAGATTTGTGTAATAAACCAAATTGCTATTTTAATAGCTTAAAATAAGTTAATATTCCGAATAGATCCCATATTCATGAACAGACATTTATGTAAGGAGTTTAAGGCAACGCAGATTAAATGGAGAACAGGTAATTTGGATGCAAGAAGAAGAGCTGGAGGTAATATAGTAAAATACTAAACTTTCTAGAGCTACGAACAAAAGAGATTAAACACATGAGAACTATGCTCTCGAAATTGGTAACACAATAGATTGCAAATGGTAAAATACAAAAGAGAGTTAACACAAAAAAGCTACTTTCCCAGCGGATTTATAACAAAGCGAGCTGCCTGAGTTGGGATCAAATAACCAATGCAACTGAACCATTACGAAAAATGTTCAATCAATGTAATGAAAAATATGCATCACAATGAACACACACACACACAAATGAATAGAAGCAGCAGGGAAAGAACAAGAACAAAATCAACAAAATTATGAAACAAACGTCAATTGTCCAATGAGAAGAAGGAGACCAATAGCAATAGCTAAGATGGGTCACTTAAATAATTGATTGATTTTGGCCGTGCAACAATTGAATATGGGTCCATGTGGCAATGTGACAAGTGGCAAGTGGCAGGCACAAAAACCGCACACAACAACTACACGAGAAGGCGCCCCAGGCAGCAGCCAAAGCTAACAAACAAAATGCTGGGTAAACCAATCAATGACACAACTGAAAGCCACAGCCAGGAGCAGACTCACAGCAAGAATGAACTAGTTAGTGCGAGTGTGTGTGTGTGTGTGCTTGACTGGGGTGTACAATTTTTAGAGCTGGCCACAAACAAACCCAAATGCAAGCTGAATAAATGCCTGGTCAAACGATTGGCTTAAATTGCCATGCACCAATGCCAATAGAGCGAGACAGCAAGTGTCAAGATAGTAAGAGCGGAAGAGAGAGAGAGAGAGGGAAAGGGGAATAGTGACACCTCACAAGAATATATGACTCGAGCGCGTGCCGTCTCTTAATTGAATCTGTCAACAACAGGCGGCTGTGCCAAGGACGTGACCATAAATCAGTTGGGCTTAAACTGAAACTAAGTCTGCTTCATTTAAAATTGCTAAAAACAAAAGAAAATCAAAAAAAAAAAAAAACAACCAAAACAAAAACAATTAAAAAGTTTTCAATTAACTAGCAGCAGCAAAATTGGCACTTGTAATCGGCACCTGTTCAACAAGCCAGAGAAAACCCTTCGGGCGTCATGTTTAAATCAGCTTATGCGTGGAAATTGCAGATTGAGCGGTGGACCAAAGGGGGTGGTTGGTTGTAACGTAACACGTAACACATTTATAACGCGTGAGCTGTGCTCTATATATATGTACATATTTATATATGTGTGTGCGTGCGAGCAGAGGAGTTTGGTTACAGGGTGTGCACAACTTTTGTTCAGGGCTGTTAGGCGCATAAAAACAACTTTTGCTTTGAAGCCAGCTTTGGCCATAAAGTGGATCAACTTTGTAAGAGCACAGCTACGAGATACCTCGATACCTCACGGGTAGTCCCTAATACTTGCTTAGTTCATGCAACAAAAAGTTGTTTTAGTATGGATAGCTAGCAGGAATTCGGGTTATCGATCAGCTCATTTTTTATGATCATTTCATCATTTTCATCATCTATCGAGTACAATATGAAAAAGTTTTGATTTCCAGTGATAACTGTGATAACCACAGCACTTGTAAAACTATGATCGATAATTGAATCGATCGATAATTATCGAAACTTGACAAAATCACCTATTCTATGATGATAATTCACAATCGATATTTAGTCGCGACTTATTTTTATCAATCTCGAAAAGTAATTTGTTACTGTGTGGTCAACAATCGATATATAACTTCTAGATAAACTGATCACTCAATCGCAACTAAGCACTTTAAAATGTTAATTGACAACTGATTTACCCAACATGTCGCCTTTGCTACAGGGTATAAGCAGCTCATTACGAATATAATAAACGCAGAAACGTAACCAAAGGTAACAGCAACAGCAGCGACAGCAACAACAACAACAGCTGCTCGGCATTTTTATGGTCCTTGCGAAATTAAATAAAAACACGCGCAATGAAACAAACATAAATAACGCGCCAGCCACGCCCACCGCGCCCATAGCTAAACAAAAGTGCCGTAAAATAAGCGGCACAATGCAAAACGAAACGAAATGGAATGAAACAAAGAGTAAAGAAATTAAATGCCGCCAGCATAACGGCACAGTCTAGTGCACATAATTAGCGGCACAAACTAGAAGGGATTGGCCCGGTGGTTAGCCCCTCCCCCAACCTAACCCAGGCCCCCTCCCTGCCCACACACCACTGCTCCATTCAGCAACGCACCCTACTCCACAGACTGGTCAGTGACCAGCGCTCAACTTTCATTAGCAGGTCGTGCAGCGTACTCAGATTGAATGGAACTAAGAACTCGATTATTTTTTACGGTGCGTAATTAAAATGCTGCAAATGGAGATGACACAGACAGAGAGAGAAACCAGGATAGAAAGGATATCTGAACACCAAATACCCTTGTATATATGTGGTCCAGGATCTTGCACATATTATGGAAGGAGAATATTGTAAGTCGTAATGCTAAGTTTAGCGAAGGGAACTAAAAAAAAAAACCGAGACTTGTCAGTTATATGACAAAGTTTGCCGATTCCTCTTCCGCGTTACACATTTCACGACATAACAAGAATACCCTCTCTAGTAGCGTATACCAAGGAATAGAGCTGGAAAATGTTGAGAGTTGAACAGTCAACGTCGGCAGTAGCAGGCACTTATTAATGATACTTATGGCTTGGGTCAGTGCTTTGCCTAATGAAGCTACAGCTAAGTCGGCTAATTTCCAGGACCAGGAGCAAAAACCAAGCCCAGAACGAGCAGGAGCTTGAGTACGGCATAAACTTCATCAACAGTTGCCAACTGTTAATTACGCTAAGCGTTCGTCCTCATCTTCAGCAAAGATGATGGCATATTTGCCCCATGCGCGGCTTATGTGACGGCTTTTGCAATTTATTTGAGTCCATTAAATGTTCAGACCCTAGTGCCAAATATGTAACTGAAATCCAGTGGCATCAAAGTATAAGTCCAAATCGTAGCATACTTTCAAGCGCGTCATAAATATGCAAAATATAATGTTGGGTTGGTGCTTAGGACCATTTGCGAGCACTCAAATCCACAAAATAAAAGAAGCCCCTCACAATTCGCTTATGCCTTTAAATTATGAATTTATGAATTTAAAGTGCTGGCAGCCGATAAAAATTGACTGACTGGAAGACACTCTGTTATATAAATACTTAAACGTATCAGGGAGTAAGAATTTTGTCCCTTAGTCTCACTGCCCAAAAATGACGCGAGGCTTAAGAGTTCCTTCAATTTTCAGAAAAATTGGAAAAAGTATCTAAAACTTAAGCAATCTCTAATTGAACTATACCATGTGCGAAATATATATCGTGTATCTTGCTTTTATAATCTCCGAGTTATGCTTTAAAATGGCACAAAATAAATATCGATACTATGCAACATACTAAAAAAAAGTAATTAAACTCATTTTTCGTTTGGTATCATCTTGATACCACAGAATCACGGACATAGGTCCCATGGCTAGATCGACGCAACTCGTTTTCCTGATGAGGATTATATACACTCTAACGCGGAGTTAAAGATATTCCTTTCTGCCTCTTACGTTGACTTGCCCATAACCATCATACCCTTTACAATTATTTTCAGTGTATACCAACTGAAATCGCTAGAAAGTGGGAAGAACAGGAGATAGGAACCGATATAGCTCTTTCAACTCTAGTACAGGGTATAAATGACATTAACATTGAAATTCAGTTTTTGGGCGCGTTCAGGCATTTGCATAATGACCATGCAGGCAATGACAATGGCATTATACAATGCCACATTTGCTCGATTTTGATTTTGATACAAATACATACACATCTATGTACACATATGTATGTGTGTACATGTGTTTGTATGCAATGGAATCGAATTTCGTTTTACGATTTCATTTTGGGACATGTCAGAAAGGTTGTGTCAATTTATGTATGCGAAATGCCGCGACAGTTGAAGACGCCTGCAACCCCTAAACCAGCACTGCTGCGGGGTATGAGTGGCAGGCGGGCAGAGGCGATGGGTGTTAGCACATGGCTCATGTGAGTGCAGTGTACACTGTGCACTTGACTTGAGGCTGACACTGGCAGTTTCTACAGTCAAGCGGTGTCTATTGTGCCAGCAATTTGATTGCCATGGCTACAGACAAGCGCTTTTAGGAGCGGCGTTTTATGATCGCCTCTGACACTTCGGCTTTGATGATACAAGGCAGACACACAAAGAGAGAGAGAGAGAGAGAGGGAGAAATGGGGGAGCGATAGAGATAGCCAAGCAATCAGTCAGCCCAAGTTGAAGTTAAAATCGCCAGCCATGAAAAGTGCCTGTTAAAACATTATGACACCAAGACCCAAGTCCAAGTGCCAGCCATCAAAATTTGTACATATATATGTATATATATGTAGGGAACATAAGTCGAATAAATACTTTGATGTAATGACTGCGCTGTGGGAATTTTTGAAGACAGGAGCTCTTTGCTGAGATGATGTATCTGAAAGCAAAGTCACAATTCCCAGCGGTCTGCGTACATTTCAAGAATTGAAAGCATCAGCGGCAACTGTTTAGCACCAGGTCCAAAAACCGCTGTCAATAAACGTAATGCGATTGCTCAAAACTTAGACTAAAGGATACCCTATAGGATGAAATAAGGTAACTAAACTCTTATGCGCATTATTTAGGCTAAAAGAAAAGCTCAAAATACAAAAGCGTTGCTCTTTGGCAAACACAGTGTAGGCCGCAGGGCTTAACACCTTAACGCCTTTTCGTTGCTTGTAATTCACAAATGGTTATAGCTTTGAACTAAGAAAACTCCTTGCGAGTCTCGAGTCAGTAGCAATGTGTGTTGATGACAGAGCCAAAAATGTTCCACCAAATTTAGATGGAAAATGCCGTTGTAGGGATAACAGTTACGTACCCTCTTACTAAACATCTTAATAGCTATAGGGTATAAAAACAGAAGTTTATCGGCCGTAAATTGCTGTAAGGACGTAACAAGAAAATGTAAGCATCGTGCACTTGGCAATGGGGAATGGAAATGGAATTGCTAGTGGAAATGGAAATGGGACTGGAGGTGTGAGCAAGGAAATGAGAATGAGAACAAGAATCGGCACGCGCAAACACTGACACGTGCCCTTAACCGCACACGAAACAGAAACAGACACACACACTCACACTCACACACGCTCTTCAATTCACACGCACAACAACCCACACACGCACACACAGTCGAGTGTTGAAAATGAAATTGAAAACTGTTAAATAAATCGCTAGCAAATGCTGTTCCTCTGCTCAGGGCGAAAACAGAGCATTTGCCCAGACGAATGGGCAAACAGAATGACAAACAGACAGATGGATAG